TTCACGAAGCTGGACATGCGATTACGGCAGCCATGTGAGTTTCAAAAAGCCTCAAGAACGGCTGTCTAGCTAACTACCGTCCGTTTCCGAGTGAGCAAGTACCGTTACTCGCCGTCGGCGCGTCCTTGGTAGTGCTCTTGCCTTCTGCGCACGTCGCTCTCCCCTCAGCTGGTCTTGCCGGACTGGCACCCTCTGCTCGGCTGCGTGTCATCTCCGCTGGTGCCTTCCACAACCTCGTGCTCTGGCTTGCGTTGACATCTGTCTCATGGCTCGGTTTCGGTACGCTCGTTTGGTCCTGCCTCGGATACCGAGACGTCAGCGCGTACGGCAGGGTGGTCGTGGCCGTAGAGGAGGTACGAGTGCCATTCCTTGACTAACCATACATACACCATCATGATCTCTCAGAGCTCGCCGGTACAGGTTGCTCTTCCAGTCGGAGCGGTAATTGTGCAGATCGACGACGTGCTCTTGGCATCGACGAAGCCTCCTCATGATATATGGTCGCTATATGCGTCAGAGGGCCACAAGTCGCTTGGTGCAGACGATCTGGGATGGTGCATGAATTCGGCGTGGTTCCTGAGTCAGCCCAATCTCTATTGTACGACGCGCACACGACGCTCTGACACACAGGCTGTTGCAGGTCAACCCGAAGGCTGCTGCGACACGAACGAAACGACGCCGAACTCCTCGTGCTTCACAGCCGACGCCGTCCAGTCTCGTCCTTCCGTCCCCCGCCAGAAGTGCGCGCCGACCCTCGAAGTCCTCCGCCCCGACCTCGAGGTGGCCAGGCGCTGTGCCGCCGCCGCAGACTGTGCCGAAGGGAACGAGTGCGTCAGGCTCAGGGAGGACCAGCACATCATGAGGGTGGACTTTGCCCCTCCCGGACACGATGGCGGACACCAGACCATGGTGTGGAGTGGGCCGCCCGAAGAGTTCTTCGAGGATGGTACGTTGTACGTGTTGTTGCGGCGAAGGCTCTGCTGAACGTCCCAACAATGTATCCAGTCGTGACCAGCGCCTACATGCCGCAATACTCGTTTCTGCCTCTGTGGCTTCCGGCTTTGTTCAGCACGACGTTCAGGTATGCTGGCACTCGTGCTGCAGCCGGCCGGGTCTCGCTTACCATCTTCACTTCAGCTATATCTCCACCTTGACGATGTCGTTGTACCTGTTCAACCTGCTCCCGCTCCCGTACCTCGACGGCTCGCAGCTGCTCGACGCCCTCGCGGACCTTGTCATCCACGGCTCCTCTGACAGACCTTCCGGAGACGTAGAGCTGGGCGAGACGCAGCGCTCCGCTTCTCCAGGCGCGTCAAAGTGGCGTTGGCGCTGGTATGCGCGCATGAAGCAGGGCACGCAGCTCTCCCTAGAATTGTTGCTTGTCGTATGCCTGTTGTCTGCGCTCTGGCGCTCCTGGAGCTAGATGGCCCGCATCCCTTCCCCCATTCCCACGCACAGTCTGCGGGCTCCGGAGAAGGCTGTGACCGAACTGATCGGTGCGCGCTGCGGGGTCACCTAGCTGTGGTCGCAGCCCTCAGTTAGGGTTGGGTATGTGGTACACGACTTCGGCGTTGGTTACGGCATTTATTCTCCCGTTTGCTCATTGTCTGCGCATCTGCCAAAGGTATCGCCTGAAGAGTGAGTGCTTCCAGACGACATGTGTGGCAATAGCTGAGAATCTTGTGGTTCTTGCCTAAGCAGTCAAGTCAGTCGCGGGAGCTTGCGCAACTGCGGCATTCCCGTAGACTTTGTCATGTATGCCATGAATCTCCGACACGATCGAATCGCTCAGAGCTGAGGACATGCTATCTTCGGTTCAGATTGTGGCTGAGCGTGCGTTCACTGTGCCCAAGACACTGCCGTAGCTGACTCGGAAGTCGCCTAGCTGACGCTTTCGCAAAAGCCGGCGCCCGGGACACAATTTTGACCGCTTGGGCTGGGCCTAGTACGGGCACTTGCCTCCGCGCAGTTCAAGGAACATGCTTTTGTAGGGGACTTGCTTCGTAAAGAACTAGCCTTCTCCACGTGAGCGTTAGTCTACATCTAATAACGAGCACAGTTTAGGTCAAGAGACAAATGTCGTGGGCACGTACAAAGGGGATCAGCATTAGCAGCATGACATGAGAAGCCGACCAAGGGATATTCCATGCCACCTAGGCCTTCATCGAATGCGGGCGTCTGCGCAACGAACTGGAGCCCAGGCAGTGGTTGCGCATACACCGTCCGCCCAGGACCGAGCGACGGACGGATATCATACCGGACTTTACGCTTTCGACAGAAGCAAGTACTGGCACAACTGCACGAGAAGCCACAGGCGGCCGCTGAAGCAGGGAACGACCTTGACTTGGTCATAGCGACGACGCTTCCGCAGCTTCCAGAGGGGGCCCCCCTCGGCTTTGGACGAAATGCGGAGGAGGCGCGTGCGTGCCTGTTTCTGCCGCGCCTCGAGTGTGTACGCGGGCGACGTCTTGAAGCATGCGACCCTCGCCGCGCTCCGCGCACCGGCTGAAGGACATGTGGGCGGTCGCTTCGGACTACGGCTACCTGGATCGTCTGCCTGCACCTCATCGCGCTCTGCGGCACCTACACCCAAGCGTTCGAGGAGGCCGTCCTCGAGAACGCGGACCGTGCGCTCGCGCGGAGGCCATTCTCCTCGATCACCAAGCGCCTCAACCCCTTCCCGTGCGGGTGCGCCCCCGCCGCTGACCGCACCCGCACGACATGGACGACGAGACACCGGAGCCGCAGGCGCTGCAAGCGACATACGCCGATGCAGCCTACCACACGCCGCTCGCACAGGCGCTCTGCGAGCATATGTACATCGCCGCGCAGGCCGTGCGGGTCAGGGCGGGCGTCGGTTGGTCGTGTGACCAAAGCGTGCAGCCTCGAGCTGCGCAGATAGATTTCACCCGGGCCAACAGTCGATAGTTGTTACAAACTGCGATTCCCAGGTCCATGTAGTAATGAGCCAAAGTTTGAGAAACCTCCGGAGGTGATCATAGTACAGTACAAGGGGAATATAACCTCTGTGTCTATAATCTCGAGGGCGGGTGCCGCAGCGACAAGCCTAGAGATGTGGTGCCTGGCCCTCTCCGGCCTTGCGCGCGTCCTCTTGCTCGATAGCCTGTATAAACTCTGCAATCGAAGCCCAGTAGCCCGGCTGGACGCACGTATCGTCTTGCAGAAAACCCACGCCCCATCAGCACGTCACAAAACTCTCGAGAAAACCCCAAAACAAACGCACTGTGCGTCCCGTTCCCAAACTCGACGTACCGGCTCAGGCTGCCCTCGGGCGCGGGGCACGCGCCGGCGGGCTCGCCCTTGGTGGGCGACGCCTCGTCGGCGCCCTCGCGCCGGCGCACGAGCTCCCAGAGGCCAAGCATGTGCTCGCGCGGGACGACCTCGTCGAGGACGCCGCTGAGCATGAGCAGCGGCACGCGCCGGGGCACGAGCGGGAGCTTCGCGGCGCTGTCCCACTTCTGGTGGCACAGGAACGCGAACGGGCCGAGCACCGGGAGCGCCGTGGGCACGAGGCGCGGGAGCGAGAGGAAGGTGTTCTCGAGGATCAGCGCGCGGACCTGCTCTCGCGGGAGAGGGGGAGAGGGAGAGGGGGCGGCGTCAGGCGCGGAGAGGAGAGGGGAGGAGGGGACGCACGGCGAGGGGGTTCCGGCTTGCGAGGTCGATCGAGACGGCGCCGCCGATGGACTGGCCGTAGAGGATCTGGCACGCGCCGAGAGTTAGTGGGTACGGGCTGGTTGAGGTAGGCACGTACGACGGGTGTTGTGGAGAGCGCCGGGTGCGAGGTGACGTAGTCGAGTCCGGCTTGCGAGTCCATCTTGATGCCTGGAGGTGCGGTTGTGAACTTGATGCGAATGCGATCTCAGGTGAGATGACGTACCCTTTTCGCATGGGCTGCCCTCACTCAGGCCGTACCTTGGTAGCATGTTTTTACAGCACCTTGCGAGAACAAGAAGATACATACCCCCGGTAGCACATCATGAGGACATTGCAGCGCATCTTGAGATAAAAGATGCGCGCAAGGGGAATACGGTGTCCAAGATTCCCGCCGTTACCGTGGAACATGATTACGGTTGGACGCGATGCGGCAAACTACAGGATTGATTATGTTACGCTCGTAAAAACGGCTGCCGGCGGCGACTTGCCTCATTATCATCCATGCCCTCAGCGCCGAGCACAGCCACCGTCTCTGGCTGTGGGAGGTCCTTGGTCTGCTGCAAGAGGTAACAATGAAGCTTGACGCCATCCTGAGCAACTAGCTCGAGCTTCTCATAGCTCAGTCCGAACTGGTCTGGTGTCGGCACCTCTGTAGTCACAGGATGAGCTTGGAGCACTTTGGACGCGTTGCACACGCAAGACTTGCCTGTGCGCGAGCCTGGTGGGAAGGCTGAGGGATATATGAGGTAGTTCTGGCCATAGTACAAGAGGCTGAAGCCTAGAGGGCAGTTAGCGTGCTCCTGGCGCGGGCCAGTAGAGTGTGGACGGGCATACCGACGGTCGAGAGGCCGGCAGCTGTAGCGGCGGCTCCCTGGGCGGAAGGGTTGTATTAGCAACAGCGAGAGATACGTTCTGATTTCGAGCGCACCTTGGCTAATGACTGAAGTGAAGGCAGAAAGCTGGACATGCTGATCGCGGACCTCGAGAGCAGGCTCGCTGTTGGTGAGAATCCGGTTTCAGATCTGCGCAATCTGTGTGGTTGTGTTTGGCTCTAGTTCAGCTTCCCTCGGCCCGACAGACGCACACCTTGTTCCCCGCTGCGCAACTCGCTGACAACCTGCCGCTGGTTCTGAACTCGCCTGCGTGTGCTTCGAATTTGTTTTCCTGCGTTCTGAAGCCACTCCAGTCTGCAGCCAAGACAAAGTGTGAGGAGACTCAGGGAGACTCCGAACGGGCCTTCCGGCTGCCGTTTATGGAATCCGCACGGATCAGAAGCGCCCTCATGATGCAAAACGCTTCTGCCACTGAGCAAGTTCGCTCGATGCTCTCGTCTCGATGTTCACCGAGGTGACATGCAGAAAACGTATCAAAGGCGAGTTCTTGGCGTGTCTTTCGGCGAGCTGACGCTGCATGGAATTAGGTATTTCGCCAGGCTTGCTTAGCCTGCTCGCCGACGAGGAGGGTGTCCTACCTTTCTTCGCGGTGAGATCTGTCTGTAGACAACCCCCGATTTGCTCTGACGTAGGGTCCAAACCATTTAGGGGTGGCCTCCAGTGGGAATATCCAGCCAATTGTGCCGCACAGACACCCGACTTGCGCTCGCGCCCATCATCCCCAATCTTCCGCGGCTCCACACTGCGCGCCCCTCGGGTTCTATCATCGTTCCAGTGCGAATATCCCTCGCGACGAGGTGGTTTATTGCCAGTCTTTGCGCGACAGCCGAAGCGTGAAGACGTAAAGACGCCTCATTCTTGGCTTGCAAAGACCTCCGAGACGAGCCAAATATACGATGAAGCTACCTATCTTTGGACGCGTCGATTGCGCGACGCGGTAAAACCGTAACGTGCTCTGGTAAAGTGTTGCCGAGGAGTAGCAACAGATGCGTCGCGAGGTGAACACTCCTTCGAACCCTTAGCCGGCACTAACCATCCCTGTCATGCGACTCCGCGACCTCGGGGCACAAAATTGGACTCCCCTGTTTCCGTCCGAGGATATAAGCCCTGCCCATCTCATTTTTCGTCCAGCACTCCAGCGTTCTCTCTCTCTCGAGCTTCCGCCCCCGAGCCCTCCCAGTACCCCTTCGCTCCCAAGCACACAACATCCCACACTCGTTTCAAAATGCTCTCCTTCAAGTCCCTCGCCACTGTTGCCACCCTCGCCTTCGGCGCCCTCTCTGTCCTCGCGGCCCCTACCCTCCAGGCCCGCGGTGTGGATGTCGCCGCCGACGCCAGTCTCCACCTCGTCCGTGATACCCAGGTCGCTGGCGTCGCGCAGATCATCCAGACTACGATCACCACCCTCACGCCTATGGTCGAGCAGTTCAGTACGTGCCTCCGTCCTTTTCTTCGCCCGCACTCCGCTGACCGCGCCACGCAGAGTTCATTACCGCTTCGAACTGCACCGCTGATACGCTCACGCCGATGGTGACCAGCGTCAAGACCGTCCTGACAGCCGCCG